TTGAGGATTTTGCCCATATTGGAGAGAGAGAGGACCCTGGAGCTGATTTCTGATAGGGGCTCAGGTCTGCCTGCACCAGGGTTACCCGGAGGTTTTTTTAAAAAATATTTTATTATTTTTATTTTATGTGTATGAGTGTATTGCCTGCATGTATTTGAGCACACCCGTGTTGTGCAGTGCCACGGAGGTCAGAAGAGAGCTTCGGATTCCTCTGGAACTGGAGCTAAGGACAGTTTGTAGCCACCATGTGGGTGCTGGGAATTGAACATGGGTCCTCTGCAAGAATAGTCAGTGCTCTTAACTGTGGAGCCATCTCCCTAGCCACTCCCTGGAGGGTTTTATGTTTGTGGCGTCATGAGCTTGGGTTAACATGGGGCAAGTTGAGCGGCCCTTCTGTGAAGTGCTTGGGACCAGAAGTATGTGGAATTTGAGATATTTTAGGATATGTGAATATTTGCTTTTACATGATGAGATCCTGGATGGGGTACCCAAGTCTAAACATGAAGTCCACTGGAGTTTCATGCACACATAGTATGCACATTATACATAGCCTAAAGGCAGCTCGATACAGTATTCAGTGTACCCATGGTTTTACTGACATGAAGGCAGGTATGAAGCTTTCCACCTGGGGGAGGAGGGTTGCTGGAGCTTAGATAGTTTCAGATTTCAGAGTAGTTTGGATTTTCAGTTGAGGGGATATTCACCCCATATTGGCTTGAAACAGATAATTTATATAGATATTTTCCCCCTCAGGCGCATTATTTGACGCAGGCGCTAGTTCCTTAGGCACCTGCCCCATGACTGCTTCCGTCCCCTTGTCCATCCTAAGACCTGTCACTTAATTCTGGCGGTGAAGGATCTGTCTCTAGTGCTCTCTAATCTCCTTTTGGAATGATCTTTCTGTTCACCTGTCTGTTTTCTTTTCCTGTTTCCGCTCGTTCAGAAGGTCCATGCTCTGCCTTGAATTGTCACCTGAGGTGGCAGGGGAATCTGACGGCAGAACTGCATTTGGAAGTCTCTTTGTGGGACGATGACAACTGTGACTCTTCGGGAAAGGCAGGGTGCAGGATAGCTTGATGGCTTCCAAGTGGGTTGGTATGACCGGGGATCTTGCCTGCTTCATGGTGACGACAACTTTATCATCCACCTCTCCTTAGGGCATAGCTCCTGAGGAAGAAGCCTCCAGAAAGCCAGGGCTTTTATTGCCTTTGTTACTAGCTCCGCTCTGCAGTCTTAGAGGAAATAGCTCACCAGTTACTGACGGCGTTAGACCATCTGTCTAAATATGACTTTCCCTGCACGCCAGCAAGACCCTCCCTGTTTTCAGATTAACATTCTGTGATAAATGCTGTGCTTACTAGGCAAGAAGTCTTCAGTGTTAGATTGCATTCTTATTTTAATTTACCTGGGGGCAGAAGCAATAATGGCTTGTTTTTTTTTTTTAAAGAAAGAAAAGGAGAAGTTTCTAGCAAATAAAATGGCAAGAGTTGGGGCTGGAGCGATGGCTCGGTGGTTAATAGCACTGGCTGCTCTTGCAGAGGACTTGGGTTCAATTCCCAGCACCCACATAACAACTAACAGCTATCTGTGACCCCAGTTCTAGGGGAATCCAGTGCCCTCTTCTGACTTCCATGGGTATGGCATGACACGGGTATACTTATACACTTGCAGGCAGTACACATAAAATAAATACTAAAAAGGCACCAATTGGGAATGTGTAGAGAATAGCACAGTTGCTATATTTAGAAGACCTTCAGTACAGATGTCCTAACAGTTTTAAGACTCGGGTTCCCCTTGTCTTTAAACTTGGAGAGAGGCTTGATGTCTGTAATCTATTTCAAGGCATGGATAACATTTTACATTAAAAATCTGAGAATTTAATACAATGTACTTTGATCATATTCACCCCCCACTCTGCCTCCTAACTCCTCCCAGATCCACCCTCACCTCCATAACCCTCCCAACCTCTTGTCCCTTGTCCACTCTCTCTGTCTTCTAACTTCTTCTGTCTTCTGGGTTTGTGGGGCCGTCCACTGAAGTGTGGTCAGCCCACCAGGATCCACACCTTTAAAACAGACTCTTCCCTTCTCCAGAAGCCATCGCCTGTCCACCGTTCTTCAGCTAGGGATGGGGGCTTGTGCGTCCTTCCTGCCTCTGGGCTAGACTAATTGACTGACTTGGTGCTGAGCAGGTAGCCGCAGCCGCTGTGAGTTTATGAGTGCAGCAGACCTGCCATGTTGTATTACTTACCTTTCTGTCGCTGTGATAAAACACCATCACCAAGGCAACTTAAAAAAGGAAGAGTTTGGGGGCTTATGGTTCCAGAGGGATTGGAGACCATGATGGTGGGGGAGGATTGGCATCAGAGCGGCCAGAGCGGAGTGGTGAGCACTCACATCTTCAAGCAGGCACAGAAAACAGACAGACTTGAAAGGGGATATAGCCAAGCCCACCCCCAGTAACATGCTTCCTCCAGCAGGGCCACACTTCCTAACCCTCCCCAGACAGAGCTGGGGACAAAGTGTTCAAATACTTGGAGACTGTGGGGGCACATTCTCATTCGAACCACGTGTCCAGAAGACAGTATTTTCACCCTAGTCCTCCTTGACTCTGGCCATAGGTTACCTGCCTCCAGCATCATACCTCCACACGAAGACGCAGCACAGAGGCTTATAGAACGGCCTTCGCTGAAGACATATCTATGTATTTCTCCTTAGCAGCACCTCTTACCACTCGGGGTCTGACACTCGGCCCTTCTGTGCTCTGTCCACTCCACTTAGTCCTGCAGAACCTGAGTTTTAAAGAGCTAGCTAAAAATAAATGTGTGGGCACCCCCTTGCATCTGCTTTCTGATCTGAGTCCCTGCAAGGTTGACCAGCTTGCTTTTGGAGAGAACGCAGCAGTTAATGTTTCCAGTGGTAAGAGACTATCTTATATTGAAAACGTTCCTTTAAACTGAGTATTCGCTTTCAGAGCAGCAGAAATCCTATGAAATGTGCAGAGGGTGGTGTGGCCATTTGGGTGTCCGGGCCAAGGTTTCTCCTTTACCCACTGTACCCTGCAGAGTGCGTAGGAGATACAGCTTCCCCTGGTGGGGTGGTGGGAGCCACAGCTAGCCTCATTTTTCTTGGATTTAATCATTTGACTCTCTGAACGCCAGGCATGTCCTAGGCACATGTGAGGGACAGAGTCTGAAGGCAGTCTTGCCTCTCTTGGGTTTGCTTAGGTATGGGGCCAGACGTGCTGGCTTGAGGGGTCAGAGCAGGATGTGGCTCGAAGCACCTTCCCTTTCCAGGTACATCATCCAAGGCCCAATAGCTGTTCTGTCATGTATAAAATAGGGGTGATCGTGGCAGTCTTGAGTGCTTGTCAGAACATGGGGTCCTGCCCAGTGGTTTTGATGCTAAAATTAAGCTTCGCTTGCTTCAGTGTTTTTAATAGCTTTTACTCAGCCTCTCCTGGGTTCTGAAACATGGTGCTGGCTCCTGTGGACCAACCTGCCCCCAAGTGCCGGTGTTGGAAGTCATGCATAGTCATTACTGAGAATCCCTGGGCTGCCCTGCGCCCATTGGGCTTATTTCCTTTCTGTTTCAAAGTCCCTCCCACACACTTATAACATTGTAGCCTTATCCTTTAATTACTTACATAAGAAGTACCTCTTGGTTCTTCAGGAAAGACGCAGGAGGTGTGATGCACGATTTCATTATGTAAAGAGAATTAATGGTGCTGTGTTTTGACAACGCCAGCCTGCATGCACCTTGGGAAATAGCATAATTCTGAATAATTTGCTGAGTGTATTTTGGGATTGTGACATCTCTTTCTGCAGACATGACGCAAATCTGAGTAAATTGCAATTGATTTGATAACTGACAGTGTGAAGTTTTCTGCTTTTAAAGTTTCTGGGGCTGGCGAGATGGCTCAGTGGGTAAGAGCATTTGCTGTACAAGCATAAATTCAGTCTGGATCCCTCAGTGGAAAGAGAGAACTGACTTTTTAAGGACCCCACACACGCTCTGTGGGATTCATGTGCACATACGTTGCACACACACACATACACACTAATAATAATGAAGTAAAATTTAAATTTTCTCTGTTTATACTCATGAGGTAGAATGTTGAAGAGACTGAGGAGTGTGTGTTGAAAGTGTCCTTTCTTCCCCCGTCCCACACTGTCCTGATTCCTTCCCACAGAGACAACCACTCACTTGGTTTGAAATTGAAACCTGTTTAATTAAGGTTTGGGATTATTTGCCCTATGTATGTTGCCCTGTGCTTAACAGAGTGGTGAGAAGCAGGCTGCCAGGTCCTCGTGTGTACACAGGGGGGAATGTCAGTGCAGCCGGCCTGGGGAAGCCGGTGTGCATGTGGCATTGGAGTTTCTTGATGCGCACACCCATGTTCTCTTTCGTGTTCAGGGTGTGTACACAGGGGGAATGTCAGTGCAGCCGGCCTGGGGAAGCCGGTGTGCGTGTGGCATTGGAGTTTCTTGATGCGCACACCCATGTTCTCTTTCGTGTTCAGTTGCAGCATGAGAAGGCGGAGCTGGAGCAGCATCTGGAGCAGGAGCAGGAGTTTCAGGTCAACAAGCTGATGAAGAAGATTAAGAAGCTCGAGAACGACACCATATCCAAGCAGCTCACCTTGGAGCAGGTGAGCCCCCCTCACTCTCCCTCAAGTCAACCTTTCTGGTCTTCCCTCCCTCCATGGGGACCTCACTTGCAGTCTGAGCATTGGGAAGGCTACAGAGCCCCGTTCCTTCCATGTGCCTTCTCTCTCTTGAACCACAGTTAATTTTCAGGAGGTAAGCTGCGAGCTCCTTGATTTAGAACAGGAAATGTCAGGTTCCTTTTTTGCAAAGCAAAGGCGAAGGATATGTTTCACCACGGGATAGTTTGTGTGCAGGTTCCTACAACAGGGTTGTTGTGGACGGGCTTCTTGAAAGAGTTCTTTAGAAGAAGTGGTGCCATTTCTGTTCTTGGAATTTCAGTCTGCTTACATGAACAGACTTCTCAGCTGACCGTCTTGAGGTACTGGAGTGCTAGACTTGCATGACCTTCAGTTAGCTTTGCTCACGTCTCTGAGCCCCAGTTCTCCTTTTGTAAGCAGAACAGCAAAGACCGAATTCAGGAAGGGCATACTGGAGAGGACAACAGGTGGTACGTCGAAGCACAGGATCCATTTGTCTGACACCCTGATGTGGTTGTTTGTCTCTGGACCTGCCTTGGGAGTCCAGAATGGTTCTTGTCACACACAGCTGTGGCTGCTGTCATTGTCTCATTTGGGCTGGTGTGTCAGACTGCTGTCCCAGGTGGCCCTGGCCTTGTGAACTTGATGCCCTTTCTCATTCAGTACCCTGAAATTACATTTGCCCTAAGATAATTGATAGAAGGCCTCTGATGGTGTGTGGCTGTGCGGGCCACCATGGAGGAAAGATCACGTGGAGTAGGTCACCCTGCTCTTGGTCAGCGGCCCCTGACTGCGAAGGGCGATTCAGCTGAGGCTCTCCGGCCAGTGCCCTGGTCGCTCCCTCATCCACATCTTGTCTGTCGTCGCTCCCTATGCTGATTCGTTCACCCAGCACTCCAGCTCAAGTTTGCCTGAGTTGGAATTGGGATGGGGTGGAGCGTGTTCTCAGCCAATAATGACTTGTCATCCTGTTAGTCACAAATCATCCTACACAGAGGTATTAGAGGAAGAGCTGGTATTGGGTTTTGCTGAACTGTATGGTGTCTGTAAAACTCTTCATTTCTTCCATGTAAAACAAAATGAAAATCCAGTTTTCAAGCGTCGTTTATTTTATATATATGGCTATGCCTGATATATATCTGATATCTTCTGATAGATGATGGTAGATAGGTATAGGCATTGATCGTCTATATCATCTATCTCTGTCCATCTGCCATCTATCTCTAGAGTGCCTTATCTCTACATTCAGCTTTCAAGTTTAGGTACAGTATATAAGTTTAGACCATTCCCTTCCCCCATATGAAAGCATTCTGCTCCAGTGTTCACCTGCTGTAGATTAAAGCTGGAAAGTGTCCCAGGATAGACAAACATTCCCGTTTTCCTCAGGTTAAACCTTTGAGCATTCTTATTTAAGTCCCAGATGCAAGTACTGGGCATCAGTACTTTACCTGAAAGCGAACCAAGCAGCCTGGCAGAATGCTCTGTGTTGTTGGTGTGCAGATTTCCCTGGGTCGTAGCCTGTATGATCCTGGTTGCCAATATTTTAGCAGCTTCTGCCTAGTGTGTGCCCACAGGCTGTGGCTCCCTCCCCAGGCTTCAGTTGTGGCCACAAGGTGGAGATGGTGAACTAGCATCAGCAGGAAAGGGCTGTGACCTCACAGGCCCTGGGAGGGAAGGGAACCACTGCTGGACAGGCTCAGGACGCTGCAGGCTTCAGTAACTGAATCCCTTTAAAGAGGAGTCCAGACGCACATTCTGTCCACCATGTGAATGACTTTATGAACTTCCAGGCTTACTAGGAAAGAGGTTTCCACAAGGGAGCCTTGTGCTGGAGGTAAGCCCGAGACAAAGTATGTCAAGACTGTATTTTAATTAAAGTGGAGAAATTGAACATTGTGTAATTTTAGTCAGTGTTTGGTAGTTTTTCTCCCATAGAAACGTGTGTTTCTCTTGAGTTTCTGTGTGTGTGTCCTGAGCAGCCCTGTGGCCTTCCCAGAGTCCTGGTCTGTGTTATGTGAAGCACTGTGTTGTAGTTGAACATCGTGTTACACAGTATGTGCTGTGGTGTGCTGTGCATGGCATGTTATCGTCACAAAAGCAAAGGCATGCACTTTAGTCATACAGTAAAGCACGTTTCCATGTAGTTGCAGGGAAGTGTTCTGTGAGCCCCAGAGCCCCACATGCGTCATAGTTTTGTCAGCCTTGTCCTTAAGGATTGCTTTGGGCACAGGCCTGGAAAGCTGTCGTTGGCTGTCAGAAGACAGCACAGGGGAGTTCGGGGCCTGACGCGATGCGTTCATACCCGGCTCCTCTGCTCATTTGTTATTTTATTTTATGTGAGTGTGTTGCCTGCATGTATGTAGGTGCACCCATGTCGTGCAGTGTCTGCAGAGGTCAGAAGAGGGCATTGGATTCCCCTGGAACTGGAGTTTTAGATGGCTGTTAGCCACCATGTGAGTGCCGGAAACCAAACCTGAGTCTTCCGCAAAAGCAGCCAGGGCTCTTAACTGTGAGCCAGCTCTCCAGCCTCTCTTGTTGTTTTTGAGACAGGGTCTCACATCACTCAAGCTGACCTCAAATTCACTGTATAGCGGAGAGGACCTTGAACTTCTGGTCCTCCTACTGAGAGAAAGTGTTACAGGTGCATACCACCACACCACACGCAAGTTTCAAACCCAGGGATCAAGCCCAGGGCCTCGTACATACTAGCAAGAACTCTGCACCTGAGCTCCAGCAACCCCCCTCTTTTAAAAAAAATTTTTTTGGGGGGTTTTAAAGACAGGGTCTGCCTGTAACCCCAGCTGACGTGGAACTTGCTATGTAGACCAGGCTGGCCTTGAACTCACAAAGATCCACCTGCCTCTGCCTCTGCCTCTGGGCTGCTGGGATTAAAGGCATACAACACCATGCTCAGCCCTGCTTAATGTTTTAACTAGTGGTTGCATTCTCTCTCTCTCTGTCTCTTTCGTATACACACACTCACACACTCCACACACACGCCACACATACACACACGCATATCTTTTACAGTGATCTATCCTGATACACAGACACACACACCACACCCCACATACACACCCCACACATACACCACACACACCACACATACCACACACACTCCTCACACACTGCGCACACACACACACAACACACACATACCACACACCACACCCCCCCACACACACTCCACAGACCACACATATACACACACATACACCACACACACCAAACACACTCCTCACACACTGCGCACGCACACACACAACTCCACACACATACCACACCCCACACCCCGCCACACACACTCCACAGACCACACATATACACACACATACACCACACACACACTCCTCACACACTGCACACGCACACACAACTCCACACACATACCACACACCACATAGACACACTCCACACACACCGCACATACTCCACACACACACACACACTCTCTCTCCTATTGAGATATAACTCACAGATTACATAGCTCACCTAGTGTATTCGCAGCTGTGCGCCCATCACTACAGTTTTCGTCACTTCCGTGACATTGAGAAGAAAGCCTGCACCTCCACCTGCCCCTCCCACCCCCGCAAGCACTGCTCTGCCTACTGCACGTCTTCTGTTCTGGCCATTTCCATCCCAGTAGCATCAGGCGGCATGCGGCTTTTCATGACTGCTGCTTCTGGTGGCATAATGTATTTATTCACGTGGCTGCGTGTCTCCGCACTGCTCTCCTCTTTATGGTCAAATTAGGGCTGTATGTGGTTATACCACGTCTTATTTATCCACTCATCTGATGGACATTTGGGTTGTTTCTAGCTTTTGATTGTTGTGAATAATGTTTTACAAACATTTATGAGTAGTTTTAGAAACCACTTGTGTGGCCTCGTATGTAGTAGCAAAAATTACGGGTCACATGATAACTATTTAAAATTGTTGAGAAAATTATTAAATCATACTTCATGCTTAGTGGGTTGCTAAAACAAGGCCTTCTTACAGAGGCTCGTCCTGGCTATAATGTGTTTATTTGAAGGCGCAGCTTGGACTAAAGTTTTTTTTTTTAATTTTATTTATTATTTAATGTGTATGCATGTATTGCCTGCATGTAGGTAAGTGCACCCATGTAGTGCAGTGCCTGCACAGGTCAGAAGAGGCTGTTGGATCCCCTGGAACTGGATTTACAGACAGTCGTTAGCTGCCATGTGGGTGCTGGGATTCGAACTTTGTCTTCTTCAAGGACAACCAGTGTTCTTAACCACTGAGCCATCTCTCCACCCCCTTCCTGTTCTCTATAGGGCAGAACTTGCCTGGCCTTGATTTGTGCCTTACTGTCCGCCCTCAGGAGGCCTCACCTACCTCGCCCACTATGAGGCCTCTGCTGCCATTGATCATGTTAGTAGTTAGGCTTTCCTTGTCGCATGTTAACAAGCAGATGGCTTTTGTTTTGTTTTTTCCCTCTCTTAGACACAGAACCTGGGGAAGGCAACAGTCTGTGTAAGGTTTCTGGACTAAAGGCTTTGCAGCGTGTGGATTCATAGTTTTAAAGTTGAAAGGCCCTGATGTTGGGTGGGTGACTGCTGTCCTCAGACCTTGTGGGGACCTCAGACAGTAGGGGTCACGAGGAGGGTTAGGAGTAGGGGCATCAACTATACTTCCAGAATTTGTGGTACAACCTCTCCTTCCTCTTTCACCTGTCCAGAACTTTCTGCAAAGGACAGGGCTTTTAGGAATTGTTTCTGGATGACAAACAAGTTTGACCTGTCAGTGGCCTACACCGTCGTGATCCTTTCTCTGAGATGAAAATCGGAGAGATCCCAAGCGCTGTCCAGGGCACAGCTAGTGAACGGCAGGCCAGGGCCACGTCCTCAGGCTGTGTTCTGCACTGAGGAGAGGCCTAGCTGTTGAGGAAACAGAGGCAGTACTCTTTCTCTGGACTTCTGGGAACTCTCCATCTATCCTATCCA